GTGAGAGCGGCTCGCAGCGCCCGGAGATCCTCGGCCCGTGCGTAGGGGTGGGGAGGGACCAGCCCCGGGGCTGTGGGCAGGGAATGTCCCCAGTCCCATCGCTGCGATGCTGAAGGAATTTTGGTTCCTATGAAACCACTGCAAAAATATCACCAGCCCCAAAGGGGCAGGAGGTGGAACTGGAGTTTAAACACCAGCCAGGCCAGCTTAAACGGGTTTCAAAGGTGAGAAATGGCAGCAAACACTGGAAACTGGAGGGTTTTTTTAAAGAGTGTACGGAAATTTGCAGGGCCTTAGCAATAACAAGAACAAAAATGTGTGCTGGACTCCAAAACTAATGTGGGATTTGCTACAAAAAGGTGTTTTTTTCCAGATAAATGGAGAAGCTGCTTGAGCTTTCTGCATCAGGTCTTTGTGGCTTTAGTCTGGCTGAAGCAAAGCAAAAATCAGTGTGTGTGTGTGATGCAACACAACAAACTGTATTTGAACTGGGGGAAGAGCTGGCTCCTCCAGATAAAATGGCATCAGCCGTTAGAATACGGGTGTGACTCCAGCTGCTGCTGTTGCAGAGGGTGCTGGGGAGGAATTGTTCCCCCTCTCCCTTTAAAACCCTGATAAGGAACTGCTGGAGCAGTAAAATCCTGATAGAGTGATCAAAGCATGCTTGAATTGCAAAGCAGTGATTCTTCTCTCATCACCTCAGCCTGTGAGATGTAGAATTCCCAACCCCACTCTTAAGCCATGCTGAAATCAGTAGGATTCCTCACCTGGAATACCAATGGTGGTGTGAGAACACCTGGGAGTGAGAGCCAAGGGCTCGTTGCTCATGCAGCTCCTTTCCTTTTCAAAACCCACCCTTGCACGGACAGAATCCATTAATATTTTTAGCAAGTTTTTGTTGTGCTTTCCTAGCAACAGCCAATTCCTTAATGATTAATCCCCAAACTGTGGCAAATCTGCAAATTTGGGGATGCATGCTGAAGTCATCTGTGCTGCCTGACGTCAGCATTGCATAATCTGTTGACTGTCCCCCTTTTATGTAATGTATGTTTGAGTTTGTTTTAAAATGTGCAAATGTTTTTTTTTCCCCTGCGTGCTGCTGCTCCCATATTCCACGTTTGCCTCTCCGTTGCCCTCTGGAGTTGCAAACTTGTAAGGCAGCGTTTTCACGGCTGGATCCAGCCCAGCGTTTTGTGTTTGTCTCCTAAAAACAGCCTCGGGGACATCTCAGCACCTTCTCTTTGCCAGGTGAGTTATTTAGAGTGTTAAAAAAAAAATAACCAAACAATTTTTGGAGTTTCTGCTTCCTGCTGGTGGAAACATGGAAGCTCCTTGTGCTGCTCCATCAACATCATAAATGGACTTTTATTGGAAACTTAGTAACACATTAACTTTGGCAGCGTGAAACCCTTGTGTTTTCTTAAAGGCATTTCAGAACTTGATGTATCCAATTCCCTCAGGCAACGTGGGGGTGGTAGAAATAATTTTGTGATGTTTTCAGGAGTGCCTGGTTTTAGGAAAGAAAAAAAAAGCCAAGAGGGGGTAAAGTTGTAGACATGCACAACAAAGTGGTGGGTGGAGAAATAGTTCCATGGTCTTTTCAGCAGTGCCTGTTTTTAAGGAAGGGGAAAAAAAAAAACAATGGAGGGGAGTAAATATAGGTGGATGGAAGCTTGTAATTTAACTAATTAGTGGGATTGTGCATTTCAAATGTTTTTATGTGGATTTGATGAGCTAAAAATGCCAGCTGGGGCACCTGGAGGCTGCTGCCTGCAGTCGCTGTGGGCACGGCTGGCCCTGGGAGGGCACGGCAGGATGGGCCGT